CCATCAGCCAGATAGACCTTTGCAAACAGTTTTCTGATTTTAAAACCAAAAGACTAAAATGCATTTTAGAGGCCATCAGCCAGACAGGCCTTTGCAAACAGTTTTCTGATTTTAAAACCAACAGCCAGCACAGAAACATAACCCCCCACCTAGCCGTCTAGCCCAACCCCAAGCTGCAAAACCCCTGTACAGTAAATACAGTGTACTCACCCAGAACAGGCAGTCACTCTGTTTTAAAAAAGAAAGAAATCGAAAAATAAAAAATAAAAAAAGCCAAAAAAAAATACAGTCCATACAGTACAGTACCAGGCAGTAGGCAGTCTGAAGTGTCTCTCCGTATTCACACTCTCTAACCGCTGGGGCGAGCGACGTAGCAGACAACCAGCCTCTTTGCTGGCCAACGGTTAACTGAAAGTTCAAATTTCCCACCTTCCCCGTGTTTTTTTTTCGTTCGTAAGTCGAAGCTCCGTTCGCAAGTCAAAGCAAAATTTTGCGAACGGAGCAGTTAGTAAGTCGAAAAGTTTGTTGATAAGGATGTTCGTAAATCGAGGTTCCACTGTATATGTAATCTAATCCAAAACAATCAGTTCTAAAGTTGGGTTTACCCAGTAGTGAGCAAGAATGTTGACTTCAAACATTTTCTGAATGTCATGGTCTTCGGTCGATAGCACATCTGTTGGGGATACCACACCAGCATTATTCATCAAGATGCTCACGTCTCCAATCTCTTCTTTCACCTTTTTAAAGAAATGAAGCGCATAGATTACAACAGGTTCTGTCTCTTGTGTAGCTGGAGTTTTGTTCACTTTTAATGACCTGTTGTAGTAATTGCTGATATAGGAACAGATTTCTGAACTATGGCACAAGAGTTGTCCCTAGGACAGAAATCTTTCAGTTAAACAGACACATGGGGTACTGAATACAGTAGGACCCCCCACATCTGTGGGGGATTGGTTTTGCAGATGCTGAAAAATGTGGGGTATAGGGAATGCTATTACAAGAGCAAACACTATACAGTGGTGCCCTGCATGATGATGATAATCCGTTCCCTGAAATTGCTGTTAAGCGAAATCGTTGTCATGCAAAATCCGTTTCCCCATCGGAATGCATTGAAACCTGTTTAATACGTTCCAATGGGGAAAATACCTCATCATCCAGCGAAGATCGCCCATAGGGAAGCCATTTTCTGAGTGCCGATCAGCTGTAAAAATGGCTGCCCTGCGAAGCATGGGTCTGGAAAACACAGGGCAGCTGTTTTGCGAAGCAGACGATCAGCTGGAAAAATTGTCGTCTTGCGAAGAAATGGTCCACGAAGCATGGACCAAATCATCATGAAGCGAAAATCCCCCATTGGAATGACTGTTTTGTGAATCACTATAGCGATCGCAAAAAAGTCATCATTATGCAGATTTGTTGTTTAGTGGGGTCGTCGTCATGTGGGGCACCACTGTACATAGCATGGTCTCTGTCTACCTCAAGTGGCCAGTTCTGGTAATGACATTGAGAAAATATATTTCTCTAGTGAACACTATACATAACATGGTTTCTGACTCCCTCTAGTGCCCAGTTTTAGTAACTTCATAATTAGAAATATATTTCCAAGCATTTTTCTTTTAATTTTTAATATTTCCAGACCATGGATAAGTGAATCAGTAAATACTGATCCCACAGATACAGAAGCCCTACTGTATAGCTATGTTGTCCATATGTGACATACTTGAAGTTTCAAAGCCGATCTTTGCTTGCTGGCAGTGTTTTCAGTGTCAGTGAGAAAGCACATGAGAGTTGGAGATTAAAAGTATCTTATACTGGGAATCTATTAGCAGTTCTGGGCACAGTTTGAAAAGATTACTTTTGCTGGACAGTAGCTTCTGGAGCCAGGCTGGCTCGGGTTATGGAAAGCAGAGAAAGTTATGTTTCCAAGCTCTCTTTTAAAGACAACATTTTGACCGTTACGGATATCCCAGTGTCTCTGTTTCCCCAAGCACATGTCCTGCGCCTATAGCTTCCTGCAGTGGGCCATTTTTCACAGGTCCAGCATGTATTAGGAGCATTTATTACGAGGTGTGATTCGTCCATGAGCCTCACTGAGCAGATAAACATAGCCCTCATCCCACCCCAAAGCTAGTTAAATTCTCGCTCACACCAGATATGTGTTTTGCACTGCAGACCCCTTGGGCAGGCATGAGAAAAGTACCTGAAATGATAAGGGTTCCTTGATTTATCCCTGACTTCTTTTTGTTCCAAAAATATTATTATTTTCACAAATATTTGTCTAACAGATTTGGGAAAACTTTGGAGCTGAATTCTCACCTTGTCTGCTGCTCTATAGATCTCCTCTCGTTTGCTGCAGTCCACCACAAACGCATGTGCAGTGGCCCCCAGTCTTTTGCATTCTTCCGCTGTTTCTTCAACACCCTTCTGCAAAGGGAAAGCAACGTTTAAAAAAATACAGTCCTCCTCTGAATCCACAACATGATAGATAAAAAGGACCTTATTGATATTTCTTATGATAATTTTTCTTCTCTAGTACAAAGACAGTGTCCTTGTGCCATTAAGCTAAAAATCATAGTCTTAAAATGTATTCTCAGTGTCACGAGAAGAACTTGATAGTGTAGGGCTTTAAAAGATTGCATTATAGGTTACTTGTACTTCTTGTACTTCCTTGTATGGAAGGTTTTCCTTAAGAAGTGATACAGCTCACGCTCTTTAACAATAGCTTTGTGCTTCCACGTTAATTTTGAGCTATGGAAACCACATTCCATGGTTTTCTACATATACTGAGTACCGTATTTCCCAGTGTAAGCTCACGCTCTTTAACAATAGCTTTGTGCTCCCAAGTTAATTCTGAGCTATGGAAATCACATTCCATAGTTTTCTACATATACTGAGTATTTTCTACATACATTCAAAATACTGAGAAGAGGCTTATCATTCCCCTCTCTGGGCCAAAAACATGCCTTCAAGTGTGGGGGTCATCTTGTATGCCGTGTGCACTGAATGACGCGGGGCTGCGCTGGACGGGGAGGAAGGCAGGTGGGCAGGCAGGCAGGCAGTTGGTCTGTATGGAGGGAGGGAAGCACAGCCTGCCATGCCTGAGCGGCCAGAGCCCGCCGCCGGGCTGCCCGCCGCCCCGCACCGCTGAGCCAGCTGCGCGCTCGCTCACCTGGCACCCCCCGTTTCCCCTCTTCCTCCACCTCCTGTTGGGGTGGGGCGTCTTATATGGCCAGTCGCCTTGTGCGCCGGCAAATACGGTATTTTCTACATACATTCAGAATACAGGCTTATCATTCCCCTCTCTGGGGGAGACTCTGGGACAGTGGGGCATGCCCAAGGCTACACAAGGCGGGCTTTTCTCCTGCACCACACAATTGAACTCTCAGCCTCTGTTATGCCTATTAACTCACTGAGCCAGCCAACTTTTTAAAGGTTACCAATTAACCACCTGAAAGCTTGCTACACAAACCGAAACTTTCCCTCCTTATGGGTGCCGTAGGAACACTAAGCCACTTTAGGAACCACGAGAAAATATTAACAAGCTGTGGTGACAGTGCCGATTGACTGATCACGGTACAAAAGTGTGACAAAAGAGGGGGGGGAAGAGTTCAAATCCAGGACAGCATCCCCCCCCCCATTTCAAGATAGAAATCCTGGCTGTGTTGAGCTGTGCTATTGCCCCTGACCCCTCAGAGAGCACCTCACGAGCCTTAATCCAAACCCCACAGTGTTCAATTTCCCTCCAACCCATCACTGAAGAAGTTGAGGCTTGGGAAGCCAGGTGGGCTTAATTCCCCCAGGATGGCCTGATGCCCTGACACTTTGCCATTCCGCCCGGGTGCTCTCCTGCCTCACTGCCGCTGGGCCTCATTTCTTGTTATCCTTGTGCCGCTTTGTGCTGCCTCCATGGCTTAGTTATTTCTGGAAAACTATTTCAACTATGCTTGGCTCTGCTTGATGGCAAGAGGAAAAGCGAGGAGAAGAGGAGAATGATGGCAGTGGCAACAGCAGTGATTTGTTCTGAATTTCTTGGCTACCTGATTGTTTCCAGAGCAACAGCTAGGTCTTCAGCTCCAAGATTGCCAGAGGCTGCTACTGCGGCTGCTGCTGTCATCACTATCCTGATTCTTTTCTTTCTAGCCAAGTCTCATAAATGTTCCCGTGTTGGACCAGGCACCAGTGAATGACATGTACAGTAGGACCCTCCTATCCACTGGGGATTGGTTCCAAGTCTCTGCAGATACTGAAAGCCATAGATAATCGCAAGTGTATATGTGTGTGTGTGTGTGTCAAAGAGAGAGAGAGAGAGAGAGCATGGCAAAAGGGAGAAAAAACAGGAAAAAAATCTTTTCACATAGATCACCAGAAATGGCTACTAAAGAGCACAAGAGACCACTCTATGTATTCTTCACTAACAAGTATTCATAGCATGGTCTCTGGCTCCCTCTAGTGGTCGGTTCTGATAGTACATGTGAAAATAGTTTTTTCTGATTTTTTCTTTTAATTTTTTCAGACTGCGAATAAGTGAAACTGTGGATACTGATCCCACAGATACGGGGGTCATACTGTATTCATGTTTACATGCCACATTTCTCATCCCTTTCTTTGTCAAATGTGGTTAAGCATGCCACCAGTCCTGCAAAAGGACAAGGACAGAAATCAAGGGCTGTCCTTCTGCCTCTGATGAAACAGCTTTAGTTTCTTCTCCGTTTGCAGAAAGAAGAGAGAAAGCATCACAATAGTCAAGGCCATTGGTCCAAAGGGCAGTTGAAGCAAGTGCTGCAGGCTCACCGTATAGCCATATTCAGCTGTAAACCAGACGGACAGGTTACTAATCAAACTTTAACAGGTCATTAATCAAACCTTGCTGAAAGAGAACAAGGCCGTTGTGAAATCTGTCTGGGGCAAAGCCCTTGTTAGGGAAAGATGAAAAAGATGTCAACACAGAAGTCCTACGTTGCCTATGGGCGCTGTAAAAGAAGAAGAAAAGCTGCCACATATATAAGGAGACTCCAATCTGACACTTTCAGAAAATAGTCAGGTGATGATATCCACCAAATGGACCAAGAAGAAGCAATTCTACACTATTTGATTCATTCAGCTCTTGCCAAGCATGCAGGCTCGGAATGTCAAAACAAAGCAAATTCAATAGGGCCTTGGCATTTCCAGAAATGTGAAAACTAACAAGGCACTAGCAGAAGGTGTTGGTGTGTGTGATTTTCTTTAAACTTTCCCTGAAATATCTTCCTGAGTGCAAAGGACAAGGGGCTGGCTTATCTGTGGTGCAACCTAGCCTAATTCAAGCTTCACAGAATCACAAAACAGTGAGGTTGGAAGGGGCCTAGAAGGCCATTCGAGTCCAGCCCCCTGCTCTTTGCAGGAATCCAAATCAAAGCAGATCTGAAAGATGGTTGTCCAGGTTTCTTCAGCAAACTCACTAGCCGCCTCCCAAAAATATATTTGGGTGTAATGTTTAACAAAGGTGGCAAGTAAGAGCTTTAATAGACACCCTCAGAAAGTGGTAAACTCTCTCTCTACCACCTTTCCCGTTCCCTGGGTGGCAGTGATGTTGAATTGAGGTGAGACGGCCACCTGTCAGGAATGCTTTAGCTGTGTTCCTGCTTGGTCATGGGGCTGGATTCAATCCTCGGGGTCCCTTCCAATTGTACATATCTATGATTATATAGCCAGAATCCTGTCCATTATGTTGACCAGCATAGCTTCATTGGTCCTATGGTTGGAGCAATCTAGATGCAAAAGCCATCTACAGAATGTCTGATGAGTTTATACTCGAATGGCTTCCTCATTCACAGCAACAGGAACCCACAGAGGATTGTCCCAAAACCCCAGGGTTTAATGAGCTCAAGGACAGTCTTTCCTTATGCTTGACAACTGCCAGCAACCTACTTTTCACAGGAAACCTTACAAAGACAGCTTGCCAGCAGTGGGCAGAGCTCAGCGGACGTTCACCCAGCAGGTGTGCTTGGGGGAGGGAAATCTTTTTTTTAAACTTTAAAATTGTAAATGCATGGTGGGGGCTGGGGTCCATAAAAATGGCCCTGGGGGACGCTTGCAATCTATCATAGAATCATGAAGATGGAAGGAGTCTATAAGGTCATCAAGTCCAACCCCCTGGTCAGTACAGGAATACAAATCAAGTCCCATATGAACCCACCTTAGCATTAGGATGAATGGAGCCTTACCCTTCCTCATCCCCAGGCTTTCTGTAACTAGTTCACTCTTCCTGGTGTTCCTTTTCTGCTATGTGCATGTGAGAATACATCCTTGCTTCCCTGCCTGTAATTATGTTGAATATCCCTTTTGCCCCAGCTCTGCCTATTATCCTGACTCCAACCATCTGTGCACTGACTTTGCCCCACTGACCACAACAACTGTGCATTCTCTCTCACACACAAATGCACACAAATGTTCACACCTATTTATACTTCTCTTGCATCCATTTACAGCTATCTATCGGCTTCTAATGTATTTCTATCTCTTTTCTTTCTCTGTCTAAGCCTAAGCACATACAGGATTTAAGAAAGGCTGCTGCGGGAGGAAGGGAAGAGTTCAAAGGGAGAGACAGAGAAAGAAAAGAGATAGAAGCACAACAGAAGCAGATAGCAAGCTGTAAATGGATGCAAGAAAAGTATAAATAGGTATGAACATGTGTTTGTATATATACAGTGGTGCCTCGCAAGATGAATTTAATTCGTTCCGCAGTTAATGTCGTCTTGCGAAACGCGCTTTCCCATAGGAATGCATTGAAATCTAACTAATGTGTTCCTATGGAGAAAAAAGGTCAGAACAAAGTCAAATTTGGTTTACAAAGGGTTTATTAAGTGCTCTTTAAAGCCATACATATTGTGCAGGTGATTTCAAAATTTTCAATCAAAAACTTTAACTTTTAAAACATCATAGAAAAACATTTAAAAATCAGCAAGCATGAGACAGGAACAAAAAAATGAAAAACATTCATCTTGCAAAGCACAGCCATAGGAACATTCGTCTTGCGAGTCATCAACCTCATCGCCAAAACCATTCATCTTGGAGGTTTTTGTCTGGAGAGGCATTTGTCTTGCAAGGCACCACTGTATCTCCTTTCGGTATCAATGAAGATTTTTAAAAGCCTAATTACTGCACAGGAGGCAATTTTCTGAAAGAGGCGGAGTGGTAGAGAAGTGGAGGTTTGACCCTTTTCAGCCTAGTTACCTGAAGTTTGACTGAAAATGGAAGACACTAGAGAATTCTTTCCATGCTCCAAATATCTGACTTAACACAGAACCATAGCTTCTCTGTGCACAATTAGGTCTTAAATCAGGACCACAAGCCTAAATTGTTTTAGATTCCCATCTTCTTTGGTCCTAAAAAGACAGCCTATTAGGATTTTAACTTAAGTTAAGCCGCCTAGAGTGTTCGCCACGAACAGATAGGCGGGGTATAAATGGAATAAATAAATAAATTAATAAATTAAGTTACTACACATGGTAGTCCCAAAATGTGCAGTACAAAACTGGAGCCTACCAATTCACAATGCACCTTGGTGTGTTCAGTGAAATGTATTCCTAAATAAGCATATATAGGATTGTACCCTCCTAATTTTGAATATTCCTATTATTTCATTTTTTTTATCATACTTTTCAGAACAAAGTCTTCCCAAGGGGATCACAGACGTTATAAAAACAAGTGTTCATATTTGTGTGCGAATTATAAAGCAAATGAAGAAATGCATATACTGATACGATGGCCTCTCTTACCTTATTGATATCCCAGAGAATGACGGTGCATTGACGTTTTGCAAATTCATAAGCTGTGGCTCTCCCAAGTCCATGGCCAGATCCAGTAATCAGGGCTATTTCTCCAGAGATAGACTTTTTCTTTACAGGGATGAAAAACTTGACAATTGCCTCTAAATAGGAGTAGAGGATTATCAGGAGAAACAATGGGATCTCAAGTAAAAGATGCATTCTCTTCTCAAGCTTTTCCACACTGGGAGCGACCTGTAGCTGTGCGTACTCTGTTACTATTATCAGTGACTGACCTCTAGCACACGCTTCTTTCAGCTGATCGTTACGAAGCTGGGGCTGCATCTATAGCTTGGCCCTTTGGTAGAAATGTTGACTTAACGTTTTACTGCAGTTTGCTGCAGTGAACAGTCAGCAGGAGCTGTCACTGAAAATGAAGTTAATTATTCCCCACAAGATTGTAACCATTTTGCATGAGTATCTAGGTAAAGATTCGCCTTGACATTTAGTCCAGTCTTGTCCGACTCTAAGGCGGAGTGCTCATCCCTGTCTCCAAGCTGTAGAGCCAGCGTTTGTCTGTAGACAGTTTCCGTGGTCACGTGGCCAGTGCGACTAGACACAGAACGCCGTTACCTTCCCACTGAGGTGGTACCTATTTATCGACTCGCATTTACACGTTTTTGAACTGCTAGGAGCTAGGACAAGCGACAGGAGCTCACTCTGTTGCGTGAATTCGATCTTAAGACTGCTGGTCTTCTGACCTTGCAGCACAGAGGCTTCTGCGGTTTACCCCACAGCGCCACCACATCCCATGACTATCTACCCAATTTATAATCCAATTATTTATTTTTATTTTCTATAACCTGTGCTTTAGATCTTCAAACCTATCATTTTATGTTTATTATAAAATAATGTTATATATAGAACATACTGTACCATCAGGGCCTATTCTAAACTCCCCCTTTATTTCATGACATGCAATTAAAGTCATCTGTCTGCCACTGCTATCACAGTTTTGGAAGTGGACACAAAGTTCACTCTTAGGACAGCATTAGGTAAGTTGTAGGGGATACTGATCTATGTCTTCTCTAAAGTTCACTCTTAGGACAGCATTAGGTAAGTTGTAAGGGATACTGATCTAGACCATGTCTTCTCTCATGGAGTGAGTTTTAAACAGTGCTTACACTGTGATTGGAATAAGATATAGCTACACCCAATACCCTAAATCCACCAGCGTAAATTATCTTCAAAAAATTGTCTCTAGTTAATAAATTGACGTAGGCCTTTTAGGGAAGAACTTTCAAACTGAATTAGTTTTGGATTTTGGGAAGGGGCTCATCATTCATTTTGGGTCTTTTGGGTACCGTGAAATGGACTGGCTTTATCAAGTTCTTCTCACACAAACACCCCAAATTGGGTTTGCCTGCCCATTCTACATTTTGTTGGAATTTTGTTTGCAAGTTTGCATACTGACTGTAGTTTGTGTGACTGAGAGGGACATTTCTGGGCTGGGATAACTGTCTATCCAGCACAAACCAATTATTCCTTCCAACCTTTGATTTCAAAGAGAGCCCCGTCTCTGCTGAGTGCTTTTTCCTTCCCTTTCCTGGGCTGGTGGCAGAGCTGTTTGTTTGCTGCTGATCTGTTTTGCTTGGTTATTAGAACATGCGCAGTAAAGAAAGCAGCATGCACAAATCTTTAATTTCAAGCAATTGTAAGTAAATACAATTTGTTTTTATTCTTTGTCCTACAAATGTCTCAGAGTGTGTTACTGAGACTTAAGTGCCCGTTAATGAGAAAGGGATGGGCTGTCTGGGGAATTTGGAGCTATTCTCCTCTGTGCGATCTCTGTACTTCTACTGCATAGAAGAAAACGTTTTACCAGAAATTCAAAACTCTGCAACACATTTCTTCTCAGAATCAGAGGTTAAGAAGGAAGTCAGACTGTTAGGCCCTAATTCCTGCCAAGGATTAAGAGAAGAAGCACCAGGGTATTCGATCTCATACACAGTGACTTATGTGGGCCACTCAATGTTTCATCACTGGGACATGACAGATATATTCTAATGTTTGTGGTTGCTTTCTTGAGGTACTGTGTCACCTCAAGACACGCTGAAAGAGAAGAGTGAAACACGTGATATGCTGAAGAAATATGTGGGGAGACTTAGGGGTTAGGGCAACTTTTTGAAATTCTTTATTTTCTTATCTACAGATGGGAAAACAGCATTGTAAGCTTCGGAGGAACCTAAGGTAAAGGTAAAGGTTCCCCTTGACAATTTTTGTCCAGTCGTGTTCGACTCTAGGGGGCGGTGCTCATCCCCGTTTCCAAGCCATAGAGCCAGCGTTTGTCTGAAGACAATCTTCTGTGGTCACATGGCCAGTGCGACTTAGACACGGAACGCCATGACCTTCCCATCATGGAGGCACCTATTTATCTACTTGCATTTTTATGTGCTTTCGAACTGCTAGGTTGGCAGGAGCTGGGACAAGCGACGGGAGCTCACTCCGTCGCGTGGATTTGATCTTACGACTGCTGGTCTTCTGACCCTGCAGCACAGGCTTCTGCGGTTTAGCCCACAGCGCCACCACGTCCCTTTCGGAGGGACCTAGCTTGTCCTATATTTCCTTTTTTAGTTTGTGACGGGTGGCGCTCATGGTGCTTGCCCACTCTCCTGTACTCCCTCAAGCTTTAGGCAGGGTGGGGTAGCCCTGAAGAGGGAGATTAAACTTCAGGAAAGCCAGCTCTTCCAATCCCTCACCCACAAGGTGGGAACGGTGTGAACTCCTGTGGGACAGAGAAGAGATGTTCACTCTCCATGCTGGTGTAGGCTCAATAGGCGTGTCGCCCAGGGCTGGCCCCATTTCCCTCTTCTGCACCCAGTATTCCAGGGGATATGTGGTGGGGACGTGACTATGCATATCTTATCAGTCTTTCTAAGCCTCTTTCAGTTCTGATTGTCATATAGGTGTGGATTCCAATCAGAGTCTGTGACATGAAGACAACAGAATCGGTTCATTAGGTACTCAAAGAAGGAATTTAGGGCATACCAAAGTTCGCCTTGCCTAACCTTGTTATCAAGGCTGGGTGACTCCTACCATTAGGCGCAGGGAGGAGACCAAGATTGGTAGATGAGGAACGGGGGGGAGGGGTTGCAACAGAACTTTAATCTGATTTTCACATATTGAATTGAATGGAGTCACGTGCTTAGCAGAAGATTTCTAGCTGTCAACAGATTTTCATATAAGCTTGTGCAACATTTTAAACTGCAGTATCCAGAGAGCCTTTAAAATTGGGGTTTAGAAAGGAAAAGGAGTAGCTGGACACCCTTGTTGCTTTTATAATCAGCTGAATATTCCTAGAAGGAAAAAGTACATGCCAACCGTTACCTAGCTTGGGCGGGGAAGTCTCCGGCAGAGGACCAAGAAAAGGAGACTGGCGTGGTGCAACACAATTTGACTGAAGCCGAAAAATACGTGCTAGTGGCGGTGCTCTAAAGGTGAGCAAAAGCCCCTAACAAAGATAGCGACAGACTGGTATACCTTAGTTTATCATTTTCTTATGCAAAAGAACTCAAAGGGCATCTTGAAGAGGTGTTGAGGTAGGCCTGGAGAACAGGTTTTGACTGGTTTCAGGACAGTATTTCGGTCCTTTATAAAGAACACTGTATTGTCCCAGCCCTACTGAAGGTCCTTTTTTCAAGTTATCTTTTCCTACAGATTACGCACCAGCATTAAGGAATGCCAGAAACACGCACACGTGCATATAAGCATAGCAAGAGGTGAGTAATGAAGGCACAATACTTCTGCAATATAAAACACTCCCATAAGACTGGCAGTTTTCTTGGAAAAGGTACAGCAATTAATACAATAATACAATTTCATAAATGTAGACTAACAATTCCTCCCTTTTGTTCATCAGTGTGGTCGCTTTTACAGATGCTTTGATGAACGCTTAACTGATTTAATAACCACATACCCTGAGTCCAGTTCTACCTGCGAGCTGGTTGAGGGTAAGTTAGAGAATACCATATACACTGAAGGACTTGGCACAGAGGACAGTTTTGGAAGACACTGAATAAGGAGAGCGCAGCAATAGATACACATGCAAGCAAGAAATAATATACCAATGAGTAAAAGAAATCCGATAAAGAACTGACCAACTGTAACCAATTGAGGTTAGGTGTCCACAATGTGAGCCAGCGTCAATCCCAAGACATACCAAAAGTGTGTATTTTTACGCTTTTTGCGCATGTAGCTAAAGAGGTTGAGGGTTTGTTGTATTGACTTATGCCAATGTGCTTGGGAAAGTGTCTTCCGGTTTCAAACAGAAAACCGAAAGCACTTTTTCAGTTTGTTGAAATTATTGCCATTAGAGATGGGCACAAACTGGTTCGTCCCAGATTGCCCCAGTTTGTAAAGGTGCAGCACAGGGGGTGGTGCTCCCTTCCCCTGCCTCCTCGGCTGGTTCAGCCGCTCAGCAGGCCCAGCTTGCTTGCTTTTTCCACTTCCTCGGCTGATCTCCCGGTTAAGAGCAAGAGCACAGATGTTTTCTGACCTGCCCTTTTTTCTGAGTGGGAGATCAGCCAAGAGGGCAGGGCCGAGAAGCCTGAGCTGTTGCCGGGACTGGGAGATCAGCTGAAGAGGTGTAGGAAGCTACCCCGCTGGGCCTGGTGAGTGGCTGATTGAGCCAGAGGAAGTGGGGGAGGAGGGGAACAGCCGCATCTGCTGCCTTTACGAACTGGGACGAACCAGTTTGTGCCCATCTCTAATTGCCATCACTCAAGACTGATGTGACTTTACTTCAGCAGTACTGAAGTTGGCCAGACTTTGGGGTGGGATCAGATAGTGATATTGATTACATTTTGGACCACATTTTGGGTCGAGCTATTTTCTGGCAACTACATGATGTGCAGGAAATCACGAATCAGTCTCACCCTACTTTGTTCCCAAGGTTGTTTGTCCAATGATTGGGCTACTTTTTTTTTAGAGCTGGACTGGAGCGATGGGGATTAAATTACGTGTGCACATGAGGATTGCTGTAAAGGAAACTGCAGCCAGCAAAGTGATCTTTTCCAGCGTGATCCAATACAATCTAGCTTCCCTGTTTGATCATACCCTTACTTATGAGTAAAAATCTTAAGTTTGTGTTGTTACGGTTTATCGGTGGCTTTATGTTCCTTTTCATTTTGGGCCAAAGAGGTGCCACTGTTTGTACAGATTCTTTGTAGCAATTTAGCAAATCCCTTGGGCACGTATGGCCTTGTTTCAAAGGCTGGATTTCAGGGAGGGGAAGAAAAACATTGCCTTGTTCTCTCTTTTTTACATTCACACCTTGCTGACACATTTTGGTCAGGGGTGGCAGAAT